TATTTTAAAAATTGTGATATTTCTCATGACACGCTTAATATATTTTTGGGGTAAAATTTAACATAGTTTTAGAATGTGAAGTTTTGTAATTTACGGAAAGTGGATTTGTCGTTTAATTTGAAACATAAATAATTTTTTATTGTTCTTCTTTTATTTTTTATTTTTATTATATTGAAAGAATGATTCTATATTTGTAAAATATACATATTTACACGCGTAGGCGTATGAGTCATGTCGAAAAGTATACGTTCTTCCATCTGTTCTTCTATGTGAGGAGACCAACTGCTCTTCTATGAGAGAGCAGCATCTGCTCTTCTATGAGAGAGCAGCATCTGCTCTTCTGTGTGAGAGGAGCATCTGCTCTTCTATGTGAGAGGACCATCTGCTCTTCTATGTGAGAGGAGCATCTGCTCTCCTATGTGCGAGAAGAACATCTGCTCTTCTATGTGCGAGAAGACCATCTGCTCTTCTATGTGCGAGAAGAACATCTGTTCTTCTATGTAAGAGAGGACCATCTGCTCTTCTATGTGAGAGAGACCATCTGCTTTTCTATATGAGAAGACCATCAGCTCTTCTATGCGAGAGGAGCATCTGCTCTTCTATGCGAGAGAAGCATCTGATTTTCTATACGAGAGGAGCATCTGCTCTTCTATACAAGAGGATCATCTGATCTTCTATACGAGAGGAGCATCTGCTCTTCTATGTAAGAAGACCATGTGCTCTTCTATGTGTGAAGACTATCTGCTCTTCTATGTGAGAGAAGACCATCTGCTTTTCTATGTGAGAAGACCATTTGCTCTTCTATATGAGAAGACCAATAGCTCTTCTGGTGAGTAATTTACGAACAATTGATAGAAATGATTTTATGTCTTTTTGGTAGCATGAGAACCAGATTTTATATATTTCTTGCGAGTGCAAAATACACAAAAAGTTTAGTATCCTGATGATGGAAAAATCCAGAAGAGAAAAACAGCAGAACGAGAATATAGCAAGGCGCTCGATTTAGTTGCTCTTATAGAATAATTGAGTATACTTGACTCATTTCTTTACTCCCGTGTTGAATCGTGTATATTTGAGCCCTTGTTTAAACTAATAACATGTTAGTTATCGCATACCTTTTGGCTCGTGTGAAAATTAAAAATAGACTATAAATCTATGATCGTGCAAAACGATTCGATTCATCGAAATTCAAATTACGTTTTCCTATGATCGACTCTAACTATTCTGAAGCGAATTTCAATCAGTAATGCACGGGATATATAACTAATCGTTGTCGGTGAGTTATGGTATCATTTTTCCCAAAACCGTTACTTGTAAGAATAAACAAACTAACTTTTGCATTAAATATTTTATATTTCACATTAAAATGTAAATAGCAATTTTGTAATGCCTTACCCCCTGGTGAACTTTAGCATCTTTCTCACTTATAAACAAACGTTGCTTTTATAAAAATAACAATATGGGATTAAGCCTGACTATTTTGCAACAACGTTATACTTTTTTTATTTCTGGATGTTTTTTAAAAAGGAAAAAACTAAATTATTTTTTTCCAGAATAATGTTAAGAAAAAATAACAAGAAAAATACCAAGAAACTTAAAATATAATATTAATAGCCCATTTAGAAGACTTTATTTATTTCATCACATTTACCACCTCAATATATATTAAGTGTGCCATCATTTTTTGGTTTAAAAAAATAATGAAAACAAGTTTCAAACAATATTTTAATAAGAAGTTGTGCCATAGCAAACCATAAGCTAGTGTATATTACAAGAAAATTAAAATAATATTGAATGTGAAAAAAATATGAAAAACAGGAAGAAAAACTGTCAACTCAATTGTGAGCCAATAACTAAATTGCTAATATCAAAAAATAATTGATAATTATTTATATATATAAATATGAAACAATCCAATATAAAGTTGAATGAAAAACAAGCTTAAGCAAATTAATTCGAAAAAAGATTGATTGAAAAATCTTGTATTTACAAGAAATTGTGTTTTGTTTAATTATTGTGATTGCAAATTTTTCTTTTTTTATTTTTGATGGTGTATTAGAGGGTATTTTAAATGTGTTGAGTGTTATTGATAGAGAAAGGAAGAAAAAGGGATAAGATATTGTGTAGCATTTCAACGCATTTTATGTAAAATTGATGTGAAAGAGCAAGATTATATGTTTATATTTATAGAGTGGGAGATTTTGGCAATATTTAAAATAGTTTCTCAAAAAAAAAATCTCAAATACAGCTTGTCTATAGAGACCAATAGATCTTTAAATATTACGGACGTGTATATTAAAGGACAATTTCCATAATAAGGCATTCAACTGAATTAAAATCGGATGCCAAAATAAAGACTTTTATGATCACCAAACTCAGGATATGAAATTCCTTACATTTTCTAAAATTGCTGCAAATGCATGGTTTCCATTCAAAAACCAGAAATCATGTGTTGTATTTTTAATCCCTAAACAAACAGAAAAGTTTTTAGGAGCTACCAAATTACATTGAGAGATACTGAGAAAAATATAAGCGTACTTCTTCCTAAAATTTATTTGGAGCTTTTTTGTTAAAAGCAAGATTTGTAAGATTTTAGAAACCACCATCTAGCTAGCCCCTTTAAAAATAAATATGTATTATTTTAAGTATTAAATACGAAAGATCAATTATTGGATGTTAAAATTATTTAATGGATTTTTATTTTTTACGAGAGATAATTAAATAATGAGGCAAAATCTAAAATATACAAAATTTGAACAATATGAGCGTTACATTTATTTTTTCGCTCTTGGAAGACTGTTTCAATAGAATTTAAATGTTCCTAAATATAGATTTAGCAAACGTAGTTTTCTTCAATATATGAGATACTGCAAAATGTGGCATATATATCCTAAACCCTACATACAGAGCGAGATGAAAAAACTGCAACCAAATTTAGACTGCAGTCATTTCTAAGCCACTGACAGGTGACAGGTCATTATATTGTTTACAGGCGTACAAAAGCATTTTGGTGAGAATTTTCCAGAAAAAAAGTAATTCGTGATGGAATTCAAGCGTGATAGTGTTATTTCTTTATATTTGGCTGGAAATCCACAAATGGCTATCGTTAAGCACTCCAGCATTTAAATGTGAATAAATCTTTTGTGTCTCGTACCATCGTCGTTACCGTGATACTGCTGGCGTAGCCCGACATATGTCAAGGAAGTGGACGGATGAAAACAGCAACATCAGCAAAAATGCTTCAAAAAGTAAAGAACCGACTTGAACGAAACCCGTGTCGCAGTGGCCGAAAAATGGCTCGTGAACTGAACATATCGCAATATTCAATTCGGCAAATATTGAAAAAAGAGCTCAGGGTAAAGCCATTGAAATTCCAAAAAGTGCAAGAACTTACACAGCAACAGAAAGAAAATAGACTCAAAAGAGCTAAAGAGTTGCTAGGCCTGGCCGTAAGTGGTGAACTGCCTAATTTGGTTTTCTCCGATGAGAAAACATTTGTTGTCCATCTTACTTGCCAAAATGTGCACTTTCGGTTGGCCACCACAACTCAAGCACCATCCATGGTGATGGTGTGGACCGCCATAATAGCCGATGGTCGCTCTCCGATCCGTATTAATCGACTGTGGCACCAGAATAAATGCCGAATATTATTATCTGGAGGGTATATTAAAGTCTTGGGCACGCAAACATTTTGGCCGCAGACCTTGGACATTCCAACAATACTCAGCACCATGGCACTCAGCACGCGCCACCCAAGAATGATTACAAAATGAGGTTCCTCGCTTTATTTCCAGCGCACAATGGCTACCAAAATCTCCGGATACCAATCCGTTGGACCATTATGTCTGGAGAATTTTGGAAAGGATGACAATATATTCCCAACATTTTTTGCTTTCATTCAATAAAATTAAAAAAAAGGAAAAATTATGGCCTTTGACTTTGTTGCAGTTTTTTTTTTATCTCACCCTGTATTATTTTGCATTGTTAAAGTTATTTAATTTTCCATACATAAAATAAATTAAGTTTTTGTAAATAGAAAAAAAACCAAATGAAGGTTTAAAGGCCTAAAAATAAGATCATACAAGACTAAAGCCATTGGCTTTTCTTACCGGCAAAAAAAGAGAAATCCTTAAATAATGACGCAAAATTTGAACAATATGAGCGTTACATTTATTTTAATGGATTTCTTGATTAATGGAACTTTTGTGTTTTTTTAAAGGCCATAACTTGAATTCGCCTCATGGAAGACTGTTTCAATAGAATTTGGATGTTCCTAAATATAGATTTAGCAAACGTTTGTTTTTATGTCAATATATGAGATACTGCGAAATGTGCGTATATAAACCCTACATATACTTCAACTTTTTTCAAAACGGATTTAATAATATTAAAGCATAAATACATCAAATTATGGTTGATTGAATTGATTTATGGGTCTTAATGATATTTCTCATCATGGTTTAATCTGAATAATTATGCATATTATTTTACATAACTCATAATTATTTGCTGCACATACTTTTATGTATTTAATGTTTCAAAGACATGCATATGGGCATAGAAATATATATTTTTGTATTATTTGAAATTGTATGAAATGCAGTTAGCATAAAAATCGGTTATAATTACTTAAGTGAGTGAGTGGATTAAAACAATTCAAATCGGTACATAGGCTATTATGTGCTTTAAGCTTTATTTTTATTTTTTTATTTTTTTTTTTGTAAATTAACAATATGATTTGAATAAGTTTATCCAAATATAAAATTAAAAAAAATGATGTAAATCTAATTAATTTAGTATTCAAATCAATTACAAAAAACTCCAAATGAGTTTAAAATGGGGGTCTGCTTTGTAACAAATTAGAAATGCAATTAAGCTAAAATTTTATGTTCAAATTTTACTTTGTGACTAATTAGCAAATGCAATCAATTATTTCATTGCAATAAAAAAATTAAAGGAGTAGAAAAAGTTGAATTAAATATTAAAAAGATTTTTTTTACCGCCTGCAGCATCTGTAGATCATTAAGTTGTTTGTTTGTTTGTTCGGGTTGTTTTGTTGTATTTGGTTTAGATGGTTGTTGGTTGGGCCAAGACAGTTAAGAGTCAAGGAAATTGTACAGAGAAATGATAGATGGGCAAAGAAGAGGGAATAAAGTATTAATAATTTGTTTCAGTTTTGTTTTTATATATTTATATATGTGATTAGCTAAAATATATTAAGACAATGTAATAGTAAAAATATTTGTTATATATTGTTAACGAAAAACTAGTGAAATTGCACAGTTTTGTGACTTATATTTAAAAATGCCAAATGAATATTTTCTATTACATTTTGATTTCGATTTGATTCAGATGACGATTAGATGTTGGAGAAATATCTTTTAAAATTTAATCCTAAATAACCGACTCTTAAATGAAAAACCTAAAGGGAAATAAAAATGAATTAAAATGTTTGTATATCCATAGCATATCTGAAAATATTCTTCCCGGGTTAGCGGATTATCATAATGAAATATTTTTAGTTGCAGTTTGGAGTTTTTAATTTAAATAAGATTTTTTTAAAGATGTGAAAATATGACAAAAAATCATTTTTATCTCTAGCCGTCTTCGAAAATACTTGCTTACAGGCATTTATTTGGTATTTTAAAGATTTAGATAAGGTAAAAGAGACCACTTGTTCCACATATTCTCCGTATAAGAAAAAATCTTATTGTTAAACTGCTCGTAATTGCAGTAACGTCAGTGTCAGGATTAATAAGTAAATAGCCCTAAATTCTGCCAACTCCAATTTTCGCACCCTCTCTAAAGAAGAAAAAACCAGTAAAAAAAGTCCCAAAGTCGGGCGGGGTCGATTTTATGATACCCTACACCACTTTGGTTGAGCTCCAAATAACAATAAAAAGTTTTTATGGGAGAATTCTACCCTATGATTATAATTATAATTTAAAATTCAAAGGACTAAATATGCCGAAGCATTTGCATCTTTTAGATTCGGACTTATATTGCCCATTTGGTGCAAAATTAATTTGAAATCAGATAAAGATATTATGGGAGCTATATCCAAATCTAAACCGAACTCGATAAAATTTGGCAAAGATATTTCTGAGCTGTATTTGATATATTTCCCTGAATATCGTTGTTACCGAGTGCATATTACGGCTGGGGTAATAAATACATCAAATCGGATGAACAATATATATGGGAGCTATTGCTATATCTGAAACGATCTTCACCAAATTTGGCATACTACCTTCCAGACTCAATTCGGTCGTATATGCCAGATTTCATCCCATTTGGGAAAATATTAGACGTTTGGTGCACAATAAAAAGCAAATCGGACGAAGATATATATGAGAGCTATATCTAAATTTTTAACGATTATCTCCAATTTCAATAGGGTTCCTTGGGCCAAACAAATGTTGTTTGGAAAATTTCATCTCATTTGGATAATAAATGCGACCTGCATTTTGTTCACAAGAATATATGGACAGACGGACTGACATGCATAAATCAACTCAGAAAGTGATTCTATGCAGATCTTCAAAAGGAATTATGGGTCTATCTCGTTTCCTTTTGCCTGTTACAAACAAATGCACAAAGACATAATATCCTGACCACCTTGTGGTGTAGGGTATAAAGACATAATACCCTGACCACCTTGTGGTGTAGGGTATAAAAAAACTATTTGAAAAAATACAAATTCCGAATTTAGAAGTCGATATTGTAAGACGGACCAGTGCAGTAGACTTTGGGCTGGGATTTCCAATATTAATTTATTGTATTTAGATTGGCAATGTGATAAAAAGTACCTAAAATCACGGGAAGGATTTAAAAATGAGTGGTACGGTTATGTGGGGCTATACTTGAAGTAAATCCGATTTCCATTTTTCCATATATGAGTCTATTTTTTTTTTTCACACCAAATAACGATGCTATAGAAACCGTGACATGACTTCGCTAAGAATTAAATAATACTAGTTTCACTGTTTAGACAAACCCGGCTAAATGTGCAAAAATGCATCCAATTTTGGCTGATATTACTCATATGATGCAAAAAAACGGTTAAATTGGATGAAGATATACATTGAAGCTATAGCCATATAGCAATATCTGCATTGATTTTCGCCAAATTTGAAGTTCTTGCTTCTAAGCTGAATTTGTGGGATAAGTCAATCCCATTTGGTCTGATGTTAAATAAAGACAAAGATATTCAAATCCATACATCCAAATCTGAACCGATCTCAATTTGCAGAGGTATTTCTATGCTGTTTGAGACATCATTATTTTGGAGTGAATATTGCGAAGGGACTTAAATACCAAATCCCATATATATGGGAGTTATAGCTGTATCTGAACCGATTTCACCAATTTTAAATTTTTTTCATGTAAACTGAATTCAGTCGGATGTGTTAGAATCCACTCCATTTCGGTTGTTAATAACAACTTGGTGTAAAACAAATCTGAAATCGGATAAAGATATGTGGGAGCTATTTCCAAATCTGATCCGATCTCGATAAAATTTGGCAAAGGTATTTTTGATCTGTATGAGATATCTGATATCAAACATCACTGTTTTGGAGTGCATATTGCGAAGGTGAGGGACTTAATCACCAAATCACTTGAAAGTTATATAGGCGAGTTATAGATATATCTGAACCGATTTTCATCGAATTCAAAGTACTTGCTTCTTTGTTGTTATTAGGTTGTATGTGCCAAAATTTACTTAATTTGGACTGGTATTACACATTTGTATATGTGTATAATATAGTTAAAATCACATGAAAATATATATGTGAGCTGTATCCAAATCTGAATCGATATCGATAACATTTGACAGGGATATCCTCAGCTGTATAATATATCTGGTACCAAATATCATTGTTGTCTATTCCCATATTCGACGGACCCATCTGGCAACGCCATAACTTTTGACAGAGATGTCACATCGCTTAATGACATACCGCGTTTGAAGCGTCAGTCCAAGCAGATTTTTACCATGAACCAATACAGGCCACGCGAGCACTCTGAAATAGTTGAAATTTACATTCAACAGAAGAAGTCAATTGTGAAAACTCAATGCGCTTTTAAAACATTAAAAAATGTGAGAAGTGCGCCTTCTAAGAACACCATTAAGCGTTTATACGAAAAATTTTCGACTGGTAAGGCTCTTTCTAATCCGAAGAGGCCATATAAAAGTCGACCAAGGCGATCGGCCGAGAATATCGCTGCAGTACGAGCCAGTGTTGAGAGGTCCCCAAGAACATCCCAAAAACGCCGTTCTCAGCAGTTGGTCATGGCTCGGTCCACTTTACAGCGGATTATTCGCATTGATTTGCATTTGTTCCCGTACAAAATTCAATTGACGCAAAGAATGTTGCCTGCGGACAAGCCTCGTCGATTGGAATGGGCCCAAAGAGTCATGGGTCTGTCGAATATGGGCAACCCTGTAGTTCATATTGCGACACATACACTGAAGTACATCCTGCTTGAGTGAATATTGCACATGTGGCGTACGATATAATATATGGAATCTATATCTAAATTTAAATCGATTCTCTCAAATTTCAATGGCTGTCATCCTTGGACCAAGCAAATAATTTGTGAAAAAGTTCATCTCAATTACACAATAACCTTTGCTTACAAAAATACATATACAGACTGACGGACGGACGAACATGCAAAAATCGACTCAGAATGTCATGCTATGAAGGTCATCAAAAGGAACTATGGGTCTATTTCGTTCCCTTCTCAATATTACAAGCAAATGTACGCAGACTTAATACCCCATACCACAGTGCTGCGTAGGGTATAAAAAAATACATATGAAGAGTTGGCGTACCCTAGCAGCATTTTGAAATCTTAATAGTTATACCACATAAATCTCAAAAAACCTTAATTTACTGGACTAGCTACCTCCCATAGAATGCTAGAATCTGGATATTGGTGTTTAAACAACAATTTAATCATTTTTCAGGATATTTTTGGAATAAGGAAAGCTCTTTTAGAGTCAAGGACTTTAGAGTTGATATTTAGGCAGTATTCAAAGTACTCAGTTTAAGCACTGTTAACTCAGAGGCTGACCGTGTCTGTAGGCTAAGCCCGAAATGATAGATGGGGGTAGTTTAATCCTTGTTTGAATTTCAGACATGGCTTACTTCCTTGAGAGTACAGTATATGGATTTGTGGTAACAAATAGCAAAGAATCGAACTGATTCTTAAATGCAAGATGATGATATATTCTACTCGATTACGAACTGCATTTAATAGCCATAAAATAGAGTTAGGTTAAATATTTACATACCCTTTGGAGGTATGTCAGCAAGGAAGAAATTTCATAGACTTGATGAACCTAATTGAAATTACAAACCGGGATGTTTAGCTGTTCGAATTGTATCGAACCGATTTTGGCTTTATGAGCAGAATATATTATAAATAGATTTTATTCATATTTTTTGAATCTTTATCAGATTGCATTAACATTTGGGATTTCTGGAAATGAAATACGGCCAACATATAGAGTACAGCTCGGTTTAGACTATTTTCAATATTTCTTGTTCTGATTTGAATTCTTAAATATGATATTACAGAACGCTTTCACAATAATTATTTTTCTCATTTATGGTGTATTTAAACTTAGTGTACGATTCAAGTTCGGTGACTGATTCTGATACGAATATTAGAACTAGATAGTAAGCTATGAATTAAATTCGTGGGGTAGTACAGCCAAAAGAGCCGAACTCTATGGATATCCAATAGAAATGAACTAGATTTTACAACCTTAGTAAAACATTTAGAAATTGGGGAAATGTAGTAAATGTTTGACAAATCTACAATATTTTTGCTTTTAGGTCTTAGGCTTGGGTTCCAATATTTTATAAATAAATGAATCGAAATACGCAAATGCATTGCATAATGTTTTCATGCACATAAGTTAGAAATAAATTTCTAAAGAAACCCAAACCCAATATTCCAGCACGAAAAGAAAAGCATAAATTTTTTACTTAAACACGAC